CTGCTGCTCAGGACAGCCGGCCTGAAATTCACGGCAATTGAGAATGAAAGCGCAGGTACGGAATGCATTGTGCGCTCTACGCTCTGGAAGGCTTCGAAGCATGCGCTAAATACGAAATTTGTAGAAGTTTATGTCCTGAATAATGGCGGAGAGGTCGACTTAGGCCTCGGCAATAACCTGGCTGTAGAATTCCCAACTTCATAGTGTCGCTATCACTCGGCGGTGTCATTTCATGTCAGTGCTTGTTTTGAAAAAAGATGTGCGTCCTCAGACCACTCTCGTCTGAGGTTATTGCTGATGTGACTTGTTTCGTAAGTGCGTTACGATTAGCTTGGGAAGGCCGTCCAAGTGAGTTTCATTCGCAGCATCTGTCATTCCCACCCTCATCTGCGCATCGTAGATTGTCCATAAAGTAACGAATGTCAGTATGTGATCGTCTCTGGTCACCATCTGAACGTGCTAACATCGTGTTCAAGCTTGGTGGAACTGTTGGCGACCTCGAATCCGCCTCACTCATCGAAGCCATGCGGCGGCTCCAGTCCCGCTTCAGCTACGAGGACTTTACCGGCCTTTGTACTCAGGACATGACCCGCTAACCTGCTTCGAGCATGCGTTCATGGTTACCGGAGCGTCGTACACGGCCCTGACCGCACCTGCGTGCCATGGTATGTGCTTAAGCATTGTGTACGCTAAATATTGCTGAAGACAGAGCGCAGATATGGTTGCTGCCGTCCGAGTCAGAGACCTCTACTTGGTGCCCGTGCTTCCTACGCTTCAAGACCAGATGCTGGCGAGCCCAGAGGGAAGCCGGATCGTCAAGGAGAGGCCGTGCGTCACCGTGAAGACCGTTGACATGAACTACCTCGCAATCCTTCCCCAGAATCCATTCGGGCGCACTTATATGACCTGCCTGGAACAATGCAACGTCACATCTACCACCCACGAACCAGTGAGTCTATTCCCCAGATGTCTTTGCGGTAACTAAAAGTTAGAAAGTGCAGACGCATTACGTTAACGACCGCGAGCTTGCGTAGGTGATGCAGCTCTATGGCGAATCGCGCGACCTCTACCACTGCCTCGTTGATTTCCCCGTCAACGTCACGTCCGAGCTCGGTGTCGAGTCCTTCGAGTTCACCAACCTCGGGCTGCCCATGACCGGCTTCGCCGCCGCGTCCGGGCACCTCTGCATCAGCTCTGCAAAGCGAACTCAGCTGTTCAGAGAGTATGTACCGTGAGTGATGAAGTGCGGGAGCAGCGCGTGGGGCCTGATGATGGTGTATTGGGAGCAGGACAAGGACGAGCCGAACAAGGAGATGCGCTGGCTGCGAAATGGCCCAAGCCGCGACCTCACGCGACGAAAAATGTAGCCGCTTGTGTGGACTAGCGTTCGGTTGGTGTGCATCATTTCACTTCAAACTTTTTCGGACTGACCGTTGCGCAGGGAGTACCTTTTAGACAAAGCAAGAAAGCAGACGGACGGCGAACACAGGTATATTGCCCTTCCGTGTTAGTATTTTGTCTCGAGGACGCACCCCATTCGGATCGAAGTTACCCGCCACACAGCCGACGCACGCAGCCCAGGAAGACAGCCCAGGAAGGCTATGCAGAAATACAGAATACATCTTAAAGTAAGTGATCTTCAACATGCCCTCTTCCGGGTGCTGCTCAGCTTGCTGTTAGCGCAGAGCTTCCACTATGTGTCCTATCGAGACGCAGGCACAGACGTACAGTCTGCTCGTCGTCATCTCCTATATCTCCACCAGCCGCCGCGGTGTGCAATCTATCGTCTCATGGTCACAACCGCCGGCGGCGGTAGCGCACACCGGCACCGCTGCCCCGCGCTGCAGGAAGTCCCATCCCACGACCGCGTCTCCCAAGACCCTTCTACGCGCCTCCTCTCCAAGTTAGGCGCTCGCGCGCACCGCATGCTCGGCCATTGCAACATACGCTCGCCGGCGCCGTCTGCTCTGCCATGGTTGGGCCGACGGGCGGAAGTTCGCGGCTGCGCCGAGGGGTGCGCGTTCTGGTCCAGCCCTCACGCCGACCTGGCCGCCTGTATGTGCCCTTGCGCTATTCACAAGACGACTCTCTCTCTCGGCGACCAATTGGAAGGCCTGTTCGCGTGTGTCCAAGCTCGTGGGCCTCTGGGAGGAGTCCCGCTCGATGAACGTCATTGGTCTGCTCGGGGAGGCGCGTACATCGAAGGCGGTCGTGGATAGTCAACTTTACACGTTCGTCGGCCGCGCACGGATGGCCGGCTGGGACATAGGCGCAGGTTCTGGTGGGCTCGCGACGGCATGGTTGCGATCATGGAGACGTTGGCAGGCGCACTGGAGGAGGACAAGTAAGGCTGATGGGATCCTTGACATGGTTTGAGTGTCGCTGACGATATGATAGACGTTGGCTTACGGTCTCTAGATTTATCCCATGGCCTGCATGTACCTGATTGCACATTGCTCAATACGATATGTTATGACTGCTTCGCCATCTCCGCGCTATTGACGCCTTGATAAGTGTGCTGCTCGGCGCGCCGGCTCATGGCTGGAGCGGTGAGCACGCTGGTCAGTAGCCTGTCGACCCCGGCTTCTTGGCCGACGCAGTAATCGAGACATCGGCAGATGAGTCAGAGGCGGGAAGAGGGTGCGATGGATAGTTTCATGCAGCTTGGACTTTGTAGCCGCCACGACAGACGTCGTTATGCGATCTATAGGCTCAGACCTTGTGATATACACTCTCGCTGCACATCGCTAAATACATTACGGCTCGTTCTGCGCCTTCCGGCTCTCTCTCGCCATGTTAAATGCCCCCATGTACTTGTCGACGTGCCCGCTCCTGGCCAGGGCCTCCTCACTTGACAAGTAAACCACCGTCGTCTCTTCACTCCCTAATCCTAGCTCTCCGAGTCTTATGTACTCGCGTATGTCCATAAGAATGACACCCCACTTGATCACCTCAAGTGCTTTCTTGCCTCGCAAGTCCCGCTCTCCAACCACTTCAACTGCAACCCAGGCCGCTATGTCCGAGAACCGCCTGTCACAAGTGAGAAAGCGATAGGGAACATGTGGAACAAGACATCCATGTGTACTGGTAGCAGAGACTTGCACAGTAATAGGATCAGCGCGGTCGTAGAAGTGGAGTTGGAGCGCTTGTGGTCCGGTGCCTTGGTGCGTGTCATCGGGTGGGGATACAATGTAGCACGGCTCGGTGGCAGGTGGGGTATGGCAATACTGCCCTGGCTCATTGGTGTGAACGTCCAGAGGATCCACCAGCTCCAAATCTGACTCGAAGAGCTCTAGCGCAGGTAGTGACGTCAGTCCAAGGAACGTGGCCCATGAGACGAAGAGTCCAAACGGCACGTCAGACTCGTATTGGCAGAAAAGGGATGTCCGCCACCATGGATGCATGTGCTTGATGAGCAATGTCCATGCAGACTCTGAGGAAGCCGACTGATCATAGAGCGGCAGCGTCTCGCACCGCAGGAAATAAGCGAGACCGGCGATCCTGTCGAGTTCGGTGGTGCAATGGCGATCCCTGATGGCTCGAATGGCATCGAATCTCCCCAGACTTTGCAACAGGTCCTCCAGCCGAGAAAAGAACTTCGGACTATCGACGTGAGGCATCGCAGTGAGCCCACCGGGTAGCCAGCCCTTCCGCGTCTCCTGCACGGTCCACACGCGATTGAACCAGTGCCGGTCCGACTCGACAACTGCTGGCGACGGATCGAACGGCAACCCCAAGCCGTTGAAATACGTGATGCACGGTCTCTCACATACCAGTAGACGGTCTTGGTAGATGTGACCGATGGTGGGTACATCGAGCTTCCATTCCTCGAGCCGAGCTTCGTCGTCGTCCACGTTGCCCTCCTGCCATAAACAGAGGACGTCGAGCCAAACGTATCTGGCGCCCATGTTGAGTAGCTCGATGCGGATGTGGTCGAGTGATGTGCCGCGCGGAATCGGGACGCACCATCGGCGTCCGTTGATCACGGTCATGACGTACTCGCGGTCTTGTTCGCGGACCCAGCTGTGAGACACCGTCCACAGGTCATCGGGCAACCAACCCTCATCCTCGAGATCTGCCCGAGGCATGACATGGAATGGGAGGACTCGGTTGCTGTACAGGTCCCACACACGTCGAGGAGGGATTTGCGAGTTCTGGATAGAGTTACCGCGAATGGCGTTGTCCCGCTTTCGTTGGACTTCATCACAACGGTCCTTCATCCTGGTGAGTGCCGCGGCAGAGTCTTCAGGCCCCTGCCAGCACGACCACTCCGAGCGCAGTGTCCCATACACCTCCCCGAAATCGTGCGAACTGCCGAGCGCGTATTCCAAGCAGTCACGGACACCAGGGGTGTCGAGCGTATACGACGTCCCAAGGACACTGTTGAGTTTCGCGAGCAGATCGTCAATTGGCAGGAGGCCACGAGGGATGTCGGCGAGTGCATCGGGTATCGCACCTTGGCCAACGTGTACGCACTGGAGAGGGACGGTGGAAGGAGTGAGAGGAGTGAGAGTGTAGATCTCGCCTGGGCCTGAACTCTCAGACCGGAAAAGGTTGTGGGTAGGCACGATGTCAGAGGCAGCCATCTGTATCGAGCCCCAGATAGTGGCCCGGGCACGTTCCCGGCTGAGATCGCTGAGCTCTGTGGGCTGCGGACCCATGAAATAAGGGATCGCCTCCAGCGGAGTGGTGCATGTCCACGGAATATTGTCGCATGAGAAACACACAGATGTTCCTGATAACTCAATGAAGACTCTTGACTGCACAAGCGATTTGTGCTCTGTAGCAACCTGAATGAGAATCAAGTCTTGGCATCAGTGAACGAACATAGGAAATATTCCAGACTGAGCTTGAGAGACTTACGCCGTCAGAGGACATATCGTCATCCGAGCCGAAGCTAGTACCTTCCAAGCCGAAGTATGGCAGGACAAGAAAATTCCTGTATGTGGCGAACTGCTGACGCCTAGCTTCGTGCTTGGCGATTTCAGACCCGGAGCGTGATGTGTAAGGGAAAAAGGGATGCCCAAGGTCGTGCCTGAGACGCAGGTCTGGGTCCGACATGCACCATGAGCACAAGGCGAAGTCCGGACATGAAAGACACTTGTGTCCACCCGACGAGGTCTTGACGCCACAGCCTCGACAGCGCGGTGCATCCAATGTTGCGCGGACAGCCTCGAAAGCGCCAACATCCCACGGATACTCGACAGGGAAGAACCGATGTCTGATGCCGTGCTCCGAGCGCCGTTGGGGAGAGGAGATGCAGAGGTAACAGAGCGAAAAGTCGGGGCATTCGAGACACTGGTGTCGGATGCGAAAGATGCGACGTCGGCAGCCGCCGCACTTGGTCTGGCTCGCGATGTCGTCGTGCTCCGAGGATGGATCTGGTTCAGACTCGAGCCGTGCCGTAGACGACTCAAGCGGCGTGAAGTTGTGTAGAGGGTTGTGGGACATGCGGACATGCGGATCGTTCACGCAAGCGGTACAAAGTCCATAGTCGCCACCACAGTCGACGCAGCAGTGTTCGACAGGGAGTCCGCTGCATTTGCTGCATGCTGCGTCGGAACGTCGACCGGTCGCATCGTAGGTGGCGCATCCTGTCACATCTCTCCAGGGAAGGAGTACGCCATGGTCTCCCGGGAAAGTTGGAGGAGTCTGAGCGTTGTCTCGCGCGGCAAAGAATTTTGCTTCTTCTTCTGGGCTTCGGATGGGAAAGAACTCGTGAGAGATATAATGTGCGGAACGCCTCTTGATGTTGTTGAAGCATGCAGAGCAGAAATTAAAGTCGTAGCATGAGAGGCACCTGTAACGTACACCGATGACCGGCCATTGCCAGCAGCCAACACAAATGACATCGCGATGAACGTTATGTGGCACTAACGATAAATCACGAAATGGGCAGTGGTCCCAAGGATACTCGATCGGAAAGAGCGTATGGGCGCGTTCATGTTGAGAACGGAGCGACACGACGGATATGCAGTCTTGGCACAGGTCGAACCCCATGCATTCCACACACTTGTGACGTACGCCGAAGATTGGATTTCCGCACCCACAGCACACCACCCCCCGATGTTCCACGCCTGGGCAAGCCTAAGGTAATTGTTATGAGTCTATGTAGGACGAATGTCCAACGATGGTTCTCACCGGGCGCGGGTCGCTAGACTTCACCAGCTGCAGGTCGTGGTCGCTGGCACTTGCTGGCTGCGGATCTCCGGACTGCGGGCTGATGGGGTGTGAGTTGCTGGGCTGTGGGTCGCTGGGATGTGGGTCGCTTGGGTGTGGGTCACCGGGGTGTGGGTCGTTGGGTTGTGGGTCGTTAGGTTGTGGGTCGTTGGGTTGTGGGTCGCTGGGATGTGGGTCGCTGGGATGTGGGTCGCTGGGATGTGGGTCGCTGGATCTCTCCGGTAGTAGGTCGCTGGAATACGGGTCGCTACGCCTTGCCGACTGCAGATCCTCCACCGGCTGCGGCTCACTCGATCCCGCACGCACCAGGTCGTCCAGTTGCGCGTCATTGTACTGTGGGTCGCTGGGCCTTAGGTCGCCAAGCCCAGAGTCTTCAGAGCTCGCTGGCTGCACATTGTTAACGGCATCTCCAATGTCTTCTCTCTCCCAACCAGATCTCGCATGTACAATTCCTGCGAATGCCTGTCACAATTCATGAGCATTGTAACTGCTTCACACCTCGACGACGAACCTGGATGACCACCGCGAGGCTCAAAAAGCTTGTAGTAACAACGACTGCCAGGGCGACCGCGTAGTCTACCAGCGACATGTTTGCCCATACACCAATGTCCCACTCCAGGACCTACACATTCTCGTGAGCAAG